AGACGTGTTTCTAGTAAATTACGTTAAGTTTATCGACTCTTGTAAGTTTTGCTTGCTTTTTGGGAAGTTTGGCAATTTATGTGATATGGTTTAAAAAGCATTAATTGTTGTTTCAGCTGAGTGCAAATTATATGTATCCCACCTGTGTTTTGCACCAGTCCCATATACTAAAAGCAAGAAGGGAGACCGATGCTGAAAATAGTACTATTACTACTGTTAGAAACCCTAAATTGGGTCTTCTTAGGTCCACATCATGGGAACACGTAAAAAAGGAGACAGTCCCAAAAAAGATCAAAAAACAAGGTTTATTTTAGTTTCTTCATGAAGAAGACTGACATCCTGGCAGCATACGCAGATGCTACCCTTCAAGTGACTGCCGCGCCCCTCCTCTGTTTCTGCTGACTTTTATACTCAAGTAATAGGTCATGGAAAGGACTCTCTTTCCAGCCCCTCTCCCTTGACCTTTTGATGGAAAGTACCTCCTTGTACCCGCAGACTCTGCGCTTAATCACAACCTTTGAACTTCACCACAACACAACTTCCAACCTCTACATGTCACATCTTGTTTCTTAAAAACATTTTCTTCTGTGTTGCTCCTTTTCTACAGAGAAAGGGTATATTTCTCTTTTGCTGTTAATTTCATTCAAAGCCCCTTGCTTAGCATTTGCAAATTTCACTCAAAGACCCTTTCACTACTACTATTACTACTACTACTACTAATAGTAATAATAATAATTTTATTTCTTACCTGCCTCTCTTCATGGCTTGAGGCGGGTTACAACATAGCTAAAAGCACATAATGGTTGTATACAATGCACATATTAAAACATTACATACATATATTAACATACAGAAGGAAGAGTTTAAAATTCATGATTAAAACCAGCTGGGAAAAGAGCCAGTATTTTTAAAATATATTTTTAAATACTAATTTTTATTGGCAGATTTTTATATAACAGCTTATAAAATTATTTATTTTTGTTTAAAAAGAGAGAAATAATAAGACAAAATAACATACATATATTAACGTACACAAGGAAGAGTTTAAAATTCGTGATTAAAACCAGCTGGGAAAAGAGCCAGTGTTTTTAATATATATATTTAAATAACATACATATATTAATATATATTTAAATACTAATTTTTATTGACAGATTTTTATATAACAGCTTATAAAATTATGTATTTTCTTTTATGAAAATAAAGAGAGAAGCACTAAGACAAGACATATCTACTAAAATAAAACCAAACTTAAAGGATTCCCCCAGGCAAAAAGCAGCCAGGCTTTGAAGCTTCAGGGCCATTCAAGGTGGCCAGTGGTGACATTCACACTTGCCTCAAATAGACGACCTCTTTCTCCCACTCTGGACATTATCCTACAGATATATAAACCCCACTTATTTATTTATTTATTTATTACTTGCACTTGTTAACCGCCGCTCTCAGCCCTAGGGCGACTCGCGGCGGTGTACAAAAACATAGAAAAGACAATTTACAATAGGTCAAGACAGAACGACAACATGCTACATAACATCTACTTATACTAAAAATCCGCTTCGTCTTAACATGTGGTCATAATCAATCTCATAGTCGTAGTCCATTCCAGTCGTCAATTCCAATAACGTAGCACTCAGTTGAAGGCCATCTCGAAAAGCCATGTTTTCAGGCCCTTACGAAAGGCCATGAGGGAGGGCGCCTGTCTAACTTCAGCAGGGAGGGAGTTCCACAGCCGGGGGGCCACCACTGAGAAGGCCCGTTCTCTCGTCCCCGCCAGGCGTGCCTGTGAGGCAGGCGGGACCGAGAGAAGGGCCTCCCCAGAAGATCTCAAGGTCCTCGTGGGCTCGTAGGCCGAGATACGGTCAGAAAGGTATTTTGGGCCGGAACCGTTTAGGGCTTTGTAGGATAACACCAGCACCTTAAATTGGGCCCGGTAGCAAATCGGCAGCCAGTGGAGCTGGGACAACAAGGGCGTTGTGTGCTCCCTGCGTCCCGCTCCTGTTAGTAACATGGCTGCCGCGCGCTGGACTAGCTGAAGCTTCCGGGCCGTCTTCAAGGGCAGCCCCACGTAGAGAGCGTTGCAGTAGTCAAGGCGGGATGTGACCAGAGCGTGTACCACCGTGGCCAAGTCAGACTTCCCAAGGTACGGGCGCAGCTGGCGCACGAGCCTAAGCTGTGCAAATGCTCCCCTGGTCACCGCTGAAACCTGGGGATCCAGGCTCAGCGATGAGTCCAGGGTCACACCCAAGCTGCGAACCTGCGCCTTCAAGGGGAGTGCGACCCCGTCCAGCACAGGCTGTAACCCTATACCCTGTTCGGCCTTGCGACTGACCAGGAGTACCTCTGTCTTGTCTGGATTCAATTTCAGTTTGTTCGCCCTCATCCAGACCGTTACAGCGGCCAGGCACCGGTTCAGGACCTCGACAGCCTCCTTAGTAGCAGGTGGAAAGGAGTGACAGAGTTGGACATCATCTGCGTACAGATGACACCGCACCCCGAAACTCCGGATGATCTCACCCAGCGGCTTCATGTAGATATTAAACAGCATGGGGGACAGTATAGAGCCCTGTGGAACCCCACAGGTCAAAGGCTGTGGTGTTGAACAGGAGTCCCCCAATAACACCTTCTGAGTACGACCCTCCAGAAATGACTGGAGCCACTGCAGAGCAGTGCCCCCAAGACCCATCTCCGCAAGGCGCCTCAGAAGGATACCGTGGTCGACGGTATCGAAGGCCGCTGAGAGGTCCAGGAGCACCAACAGGGACACACTCCCCCTGTCTAGCTCCCGGCGCAGATCATCCACTAAGGCGACCAAGACCGTCTCGGTACCATGTCCCGGTCTGAAACCAGACTGTGCCGGATCCAGATAATCCGTGTCTCTCAAGAATACCTGGAGTTGTGAGGCCACCACGCTTTCCATGACTTTGCCCAAGAAGGGAAGATTGGAAACAGGCCGAAAGTTGTCGAATTTGGTGGGGTCCAATGATGGTTTCTTCAACAGCGGCTTTATAATAGCCTGTTTTAGGCTCGCTGGAATCTTGCCTTCCCGAAGGGAGGCATTAACCACCACCGTTACCCACTCGGCCAATCCCCCTCTGGCCTCCTTCAGAAGGCCCAGTTTCGAAAGACCAGGGTGGGACAAAGAAATCTTGTCTGCTGGAGCTAGGTGTGAATGTTTCAACTGACCACCTTGATTAGCATTTGATAGCCTGGCAGTGCCTGGGGCAGTCTTTTGTTGAGAGGTGATTAGATGTCCCTGATTGTTTCCTCTCGGTTGTTTTGCTGTTGTAATTTTAGAGTTTTTTAATACTGGGAGCCAGATTTTGTTCATTTTCATAAAAATCCAAGAAATGCTACGTTCAGCAAAGGACAAGAGGGATCCTCTCACTTCTGCAGGAGTCTATCCCATGCAGCTGTGGACAAGAGGTCTCCATAGGGACCCCCAAACCCAGGCACGAATCAAGGAACATGAAAGGCACTGCAGACTCCTTCAACCAGAGAAGTCAGCCATAGCAGAGCACCTGGTGAACCAACCTGGACACAGCAGATTATTATTGGAGAACACAGAAATGCTGGACCACTCTCACAACCACCATGTCAGGCTACACAGAGAAGCCATTGAAATCCACAAGAAACATGTGGACAATCTCAACAGAAAAGAGGAAACCATGAGAATGAACAAAATCTGGCTCCCAGTATTAAAAAAACTCTAAAATTGCAGCAGCAAAACAACAGAGAGGAAACAATCGGGGACATCTAATCACCTCTCAACAAAAGACTGCCCCAGGCACTGCCAGGCAATCAAGGTGGTCTGTTGAAACATTAACACCTAGCTCCAACAGACAAGGATTCTTTCCCACCCTGGTCATTCCACAGATATATAAACCCTTTTTCCTAGTTCCAACAGACCTCTGAGGATGCTTGCCATAGATGCAGGCGAAACGTCAGGAGAGAATGCCTCTAGAACACGGCCATATAGCCCGAAAAAACCTACAACAACCCAGTGATTTTGGCCATGAAAGCCTTCGACAATACACTTCAACCTTGTTTGTGATGGCCACAAAAACAAAGTTCTGGGGTAGAACAACTACTTCTGAAATAAGATCTTGGAGTCCTCATAGACAAGTTAAACATGAGCCAACAATGTGATGCTGAAGCTCAAAAAGCGAATGGGATTCTGGCCAGCACCAAGAGGAGCCTAGTGTCTAGATCCAGGGAAATCATGCTCCCCATGCTCTATTTCGCCTTGGTCAGACCACACCTGGAATCACACTGTGTCCAATTGTGAACACCTCAATTAAAGGGAGATGTTGACTCTAAACTGGAATGTGCCCAGAGGAAGAGGGCAACTCAAAGGATCCAGGGTGTGGAGAATAAGCCCTATGAGGAGCGGCTTAAGGAGCTGGGCATGTTTAGCCTGAAGAAGAGAATCATAGAATCAAAGAGTTGGAAGAGACCTCATGGGCCATCCAGTCCAACCCCTTTCTGCCAAGAAGCAGGAATATTGCATTCAAATCATTCCTGACAGATGGCCATCCAGCCTCTGTCAGAAGGCTGAGAGAAGACATGATGAGGGCCATGTATACATATGTGAAGGGAAGTCCTAGGGAGGAGGGAGCAAGCTTGTTTTCTGCTTCCCTGGAGACCAAGACACAAAACAATGGCTTCAAACTACAAGAGAGGAGATTCCATCTGAACATGAGGAAGAACTTCCTGACTGTGAGAGCCGTTCAGCAGTGGAACTCTCTGCCCCCGAGTGTGGTAGAGGCTCCTTCTTTGGAAGCTTTGAAATGGATGGCCATCTGTCGGGGGTGCTTTGATTGTGATTCCCCTCCTTCTTGGCAGAATGGGGTTGGACTGGAAGGCCCACCAGGTCTCTTCCATCTCTAGGATTCTATTATCCTAACCAGAAATGACATTTATCAGGCATCAAACACTATATTTGGGTGTAGGTTAACAGAGGCTCCATCCACACTGCAATATAATCCAGACTGAAACTGAAATATATGTTCAGCATAGATTCCTGTATTGTATGCAGTTCAGTCGTGTCTGAGAGTCTATAGAAAGGCAGAGAGGAAGAAGCCATTGAGGGGCACATCTACACTCCTGAGTTGATGCACTTTGATACCACTTCAACTGCACTGGCTCATGGGAGTTGCAGTTTTACAAGGTCTTCTGCCAAAGTACAACGCCCAGGACGCTATAGCATGGAGCCATGCATAGTGGGACCAAACTGGATTAATTCTAACGTGTAGATCCCCCACGGCTCTACTCAGCAGCTGCAGGAGTTGTAGTAGCCGACTTCTGGCAAAGGGACTTGGAGGCCGCTGCGCTGGAACTCCTTCCTCAGGAAGAGGCGCTCCACCATCTCCTGCAGGCTGCGCTCCACATTCTCACCTGCAAAAGAAATCCTCAGTTAGGGTGCATCTACACTGTGGGGTTAATGTAGTTTCACACCTCTTTTTTAAAATTAGAATCATAGAATAATAGATTTGGAGGAGACCCCATGGGCCATCTAGTCCAACCCCCTTCCATGCAGGAACAGCACAATCAAAGTGTTTGTGCTGGTACGGCTGTACCAGGAGCTCCAACTTTAGTTTCTTTCTGTTATCTGTTTGCAGTCATAGGTCAGAGCTCCTGTCCATCATAATTAAGCTTTAGTTCCGCCCCTTGTTCAGGGCTCTAGGAGGGAAAGGAGCCATTTTTTGGTCAGTCTCACACAAGGAAGCTAGACTATAGGACGTAGACCAGCGATAGCTTAAGCCCTCGAGCTAGACCAAAGTTATTGTCTTAATCTTTTGAAATAACTCTGTCCAATCAGAGTGCTTCGGAGGTGGGCCAGGCAGGAAAGATTGTTGTTGTTGTTCATTCATTCAGTCGTCTCCGACTCTTCGTGACCTCATGGACCAGCCCACGCCAGAGCTCCCTGTTGGCCGTCACCACCCCCAGCTCCTTCAAGGTCAGTCCAGTCACTTCAAGGATGCCATCCATCCATCTTGCCCTTGGTCGGCCCCTCTTCCTTTTTCCTTCCACTTTCCCCAGCATAATTGTCTTCTCCAGGCTTTGCTGTCTCCTCATGATGTGGCCAAAGGACTTCAACTTTGTCTCTAGTATCCTTCCCTCCAGTGCCAGTAGGGCTTTATTTCCTGAAGTATGGACTGGTTGGATCTTCTCGCTGTCCAAGGCACTCTCAGAACTTTCCTCCAGCACTACAGTTCAAAAGCATCTATCTTCCTTCGCTCAGCCTTCCCTATGCTACAGCTCTCACATCCGTAGGTGACTACAGGGAAGACCATGGCTTTGACTAGGCAATGGATCTTGGTTGCCAGTCTGATGTCTCACTATTTTGTCAAGACTGGACCTTGCTCTCCTCCCAAGAAGGAAGCGTCTTCTGATTTCCTGGCCACAGTCTGCATCTGCAGTCATCTTTGCGCCTAGAAATACAAAGTCTGTCACGGCCTCCACATTTTCTCCCTCTATTTCCAGTTGTCAATCATTCTTGTTGCCATAATCTTGGTTTTCTTGATGTTTAGCTGCAACCCAGCTTTTGCGCTTTCTTCTTTCACCTTGATTAGAAGGCTCCTCAGCTCCTCCTCGCTTTCGGCCATCAGAGTGGTGTCATCTGCATATCTGAGGTTGTTAATGTTTCTTCCAGCCATTTTCACCCCAGCTTTGCATTCATCCAGCCCCGCACATCCTCCCATGATGTGTTCTGCATACACGTTAAAAAGGTTGGGAAAAAGGCAGGAAAGATTAAAATGACTAATGTTTGCCCAAGTTATTGTCTTAATCTTTTGAAATAACTCTGTCCAATCAGAGTGCTTCGGAGGTGGGCCAGGCAGCAAGATTAAAATGGCTAATGTTTGCCCAATCAGTCAGCGATAGCTTAAGCCCTCGAGCTGGACCAAAGTTATTGTCTTAATCTTTCGAAATAACATCTTCATCTAGCTCAGGGGGCTAGATCTTTGTTTTCTTCTGTTCTGGTTATGGGATTCATTGATGAAGTTAATGTTTGGTTTTGGCCAGCAGGATATGACACAATGAGTGAGGTTGTGGCGAGATCTCTGGTCCTTGTAGATAGGGAATCATCTTTTGTGTTGGGTGATTCAAAAGTCCATAGGTCTTATCTTTCCAGATGATCTAACTTTTGTCCTCTGAGATCTAGTCAGATAAGAACCATTTATTTATTGTTCATGCAAATGAATTTTGGTTGAGTCCTTTGTGTAAGGATTTACTGGCTCAGGAAACTGGAAAAGCCATGAAAAGTCATTGAAGTCCAGGTGCGTTCGGCATGATTTCATGGCTATTTGGTTGGGTTTAAATTAAGTTATGTTGATTCCATGCCTCTTAGAGGAGACAAGCTCCTGTTTTCTGGTTTATGGATTCATGTTTGAATAACTGCTGCGGAATTTGGTTCTCTTGACTCAATGTACTTTGCCATTTTTGGATTGCTGCTATTTTGTATTTCCCATTTTTGGACTACGACCCTTTTGGAAATGCCCTTTTTTCCCTTTGTAACTGCTTTCCTTAAATAAATATTGCTAGATAGTATTGCCGGACTCTGGTGTGATGCTGGGTGAAAAGGTGTTTCGGTGCTAGAGTGCAACGAGCACCACGACTTCCCTCGATCTAAACACTATACTACTTTGCAACTTGTTATTAATAAGGTATGGTTGTCACCTGTCTTGGCCGACACCTTGAACCTCCCGGCCGCAGAGTGCTCCGCAGCAAACTTCTCCGCCTTCTCTTCGGAGATGCAGTTCTCCAAGTCACTCTTGTTCCCCAAAAGAAAGATATCGGCTGCAAGAAGGAGAGGAAAGGCAGCAAGGTGTTACTAACTCCTTAGGGCAAGCATGGGCCAACTTTGGCCCTCCATCCAGGTGTTTTAGACTCCAACTCCAACAATTCCTGAGTTGGCCCATGCCTGTCCTACAGTATAGACGCACCCATGTGTGCATATGTACCCCAATCCCCCTTGATGGATATTTAACCTCAACAAAAACCAAGGTTACAACAACATCTGTTACAGAATTCCAATATGCTGATGACAACGTCGTCTGTGCACATTCAGAAGAAGCTCTACAAGCCATTCTAAACACCTTTGCAAAAGCATATGAGAAGCTCGGCCTGTCATTGAACATCGAGAAAACCAAAGTGCTCTTCCAGTACTCAATCCCTCTCCAATGCCAGAAATACAGCTTAATGCTGTAACTTTAGAAAATGTTGACTATTTCTGCTCCCTTGGCAGCCACCTCTCCACAAAAGTCAACATTGACACAAAATACAACACCGCCTGAGCTCTGCGAGTGCAGCATTTTTCCGAATGAAGCAGAGAGTGTTTGAGGACTGAGACATCCGTAGGGAGACCAAGGTGCTTGTTTATAAAGCTGTTGTCCTCCCAACCCTGCTATACGCCTGCGAGATGTGGACTGTCTACAGATGTCAACATTGAGGCTGAAATATAATACCATCTGAGCTCTGTGAGTGCAGCTTTTTCCGAATGGAGCAGAGAGTGTGTGTAGGGAGACCAAGGTGCTTGTTTATAAAGCTGTTGTCCTCCCAACCCTGCTATATGCCTGCGAAACGTGGACTGTCTACAGATGTCAACATTGAGGCTGAAATATAATACCATCTGAGCTCTGTGAGTGCAGCTTTTTCCGAATGGAGCAGAGAGTGTGTGTAGGGAGACCAAGGTGCTTGTTTATAAAGCTGTTGTCCTCCCAACCCTGCTATATGCCTGCGAAACGTGGACTGTCTACAGATGTCAACATTGAGGCTGAAATATAATACCATCTGAGCTCTGTGAGTGCAGCTTTTTCCGAATGGAGCAGAGAGTGTTTGTAGGGAGATCAAGGTGCTTGTTTATAAAGCTGTTGTCCTCCCAATCCTGCTATATGCCTGCGAAACGTGGACTGTCTACAGATGTCAACATTGAGGCTGAAATATAATACCATCTGAGCTCTGTGAGTGCAGCTTTTTCCGAATGGAGCAGAGAGTGTTTGTAGGGAGATCAAGGTGCTTGTTTATAAAGCTGTTGTCCTCCCAACCCTGCTATATGCCTGCGAAACGTGGACTGTCTACAGATGTCAACATTGAGGCTGAAATATAATACCATCTGAGCTCTGTGAGTGCAGCTTTTTCCGAATGAAGCAGAGAGTGTTTGAGGACAGGGACATCCATAGGGAGACCAAGGTGCTTGTCTATAAAGCTATTGTCCTCCCAACCCTGCTATATGCCTGCGAGATGTGGACTGTTTACAGACGTCACATGCAACTCCTGGAACAATTCCATCAGCGTTGCCTCTGGAAAATCCTGCAAATCTCTTGGGAAGAAAAGTGGACAAACGTCAGCGTCCTGGAAGAAGCAAAGACCACCAGCTTTGAAGTGATGGTCCTCTGCCATCAACTCCGCTGTACCGGCCACGTTGTCTGGATGCCCGACCACCGTCTCCCAAAGCAGTTGCTCTACTCTGAACTCAAGAATGGAAAATGTAATGTTGGTGGACAGGAAAAGAGATTGAAAGATGGACTTAAAGCCAACCTTAAAAACTCTGGCATAGACACTGAGAAATGGGAAGCCCTGGCCCTTGAGCGCTCCAGCTGGAGGTCAGTTGTGACCAGCAGTGCTGCAGAATTTGAAGAGGCACAAATAGAGGGCGAAAGGGAGAAACATGCCAAGAGGAAGGCATGTCAAGCCAACCCTGACCAGGACCGCCTTCCGTCTGGAAACCAATGCTCTCACTTCGGGAGAACGTGCAGATCAAGAATAGGGCTCCACAGTCACCTACGGACCCACCGCCAGGACATTGATCTTGGAGGACAATCTTACTCAGACAACGAGGGATCACCTAATTAAGTAAGTATGTACCCCAAGAGAGTTGGGGCTCGATCCTGCCCTACCACATACCGTCGGCACAGTTCTCTGTGGCCACATATGCCCAGTGAGGGAGGCTGTCGAAGGAACCTGGGGCGTGGAGGCTGTAGACCAGCAACACTGCGTCCGCGTTTCGGAAATAGCAGCTACTCAGGGAGAGGAAGCGCTCCTCGCCGGCCGTGTCCCATAAGGCAACCTGCACATAAACAACAACAACAACATCAACAAAACATAAAATGGTTCTCTGTGTTGTCAAAAGCTTTCATGGCTGGAAATATCAGATTGCTGTGAGTTTTTTAGGCTGTATGGCTATATTCCAGGAGCATTCTCTCCTGATGTTTTGCCTGCATCTGTGGCTAATGGCACCTGCAGAGGTTCTGTTGGAGATGAGGCACATGGAGTGTAGATACATCTGTGGAATGATGTCCAGGGTGAGAGAAGGAACCCTCCTCTGTTTGAAGCAAGTGTGAATGTTGCAATTAGCAAGCTTGAATAGCATTGAGTATCCATGAAGGTGCAAAGTCCATCAAGGAGAGTGTCTGCATAGAGGTGGCCTGGCCTCTGTTGCTTGGAGGCATCCTCTGTGGAATTACTATCCAGGGTGGGAGAAAGAACTCTTCTCTGTTAGAAGCCAGTGTGAATGTTGCAATTGGCAAGCTTGATTAGCATTGCATAGGCTTGAAGCTGCAAAGTCAATCAGTGAGGGTATCTGCATAGAAGTAGCATGGCTGTTGTTGCCTGGAGGCACCCTCTGTTTGAGAGGTGTTAACTGGAATATATGTACTGTAAATAATAAATAAATAAATAAATAATCTAGTCTAAGCTCCTTCTGCCAGGCATGAAGACACAATTCGAGCCCTCCCAACAGATGGTCATCCAGTCTGTGCTTGAAAACCTCCATGGAAGGAATCCTAGATTTGGAAGGCCATGTATTCCAACCCTTTTCTGCTGTTCAAGGAGGTACTGTCTAAGCCAGTGTTTCTCAACCTGGGGGTCGGGACCCCTGGGGGGGGTCGCGAGGGGGTGTCAGAGGGGTCACCAAAGACCATCAGAAAACACAGTATTTTCTGTTGGTAATGGGGGTTCCGTGTGGGAAGTTTGGCCCAATTCTATTGTTGGTTGGGTTCAAGATGCTCTTTGACTCTAAGTGAACTATACATCCCAACAACCATAACTCCCAGATGGTAAGGTCTATTTCCCCCAAACTCCACCAGTGTTCACATTTGGGCATATTGAGCAATCGTGTCAAGTTAGGTCCAGATCCATCATTGTTTGCGTCCCCAGTTCCCTCTGGATGTAGGTGAACTACAACTCCCAAACTCAAGGTCAATGTCCACCAAACCCTTTCTGTTGGCCATGGAAGTTCTGTGTGCCAAGTTCAATTCCATCCTTGGTGGAGTTCAAAATGCTCCTGGATTGTAGGTGAACTATAAATCCCAGCAACTACAGCTCCCAAATGACAACATCGACCTCCCCCAACCCCAACAGTATTCAAATTTGGGTGCATCAGGTATTTGTGCCAAATTTGGTCCAGTGAATGAAAATACATCTAGCAAATCAGATATTTGCATTACGATTCGTAACAGGAGAAAAATTACAGTTCTGAAGTGGCAACAAAAATAATGTTATGGTTAGGGGTCACCACAACATGAGAACTGTATTAAGGGGTCAGGGCATGAGGAAGGTTGAGAACCACTGGTCTAAGCCCTCCCAACAGATGGCCATCCAGCCTCTGCTTTAAAACACCTGGAGGGCCCAAGTTTGCCTATGCCTGGTGTAGATGCACCCATACAAATGGGCTTCCAAGAGTATTGAAGGAACTAGCGGAAGTCATTTCGGAACCATGGGAACCATCTTTGAGAGTTCTTGGAGAACGGGAGAAGTTCCAGCAGATTGGAGGAGGGCCAATGTGGTCCCAATCTTCAAGAAGGGAAAAAAGGATGACCCAAACAACTACCGTCCGGTCAGCCTCACGTCGATACCAGGCAAGATTCTGGAAAAGATTGTTAAGGAAGTGGTCTGCAAACACTTAGAAACAAATGCAGTCATCGCTAATAGTCAACATGGATTTATCACAAACAAGTCATGCCAGACTAATCTGATCTCTTTCTTCGATAGAGTTACAAGCTGGGTAGATGCGGGGAATGCCGTGGATGGAGCGTACCTGGATTTCAGGAAGGCCTTCTTTGACAAGGTCCCCCATGACCTTCTGGCAAGGAAACTAGTCCAATGTGGGCTAGGCAAAACTACGGTGAGGTGGATCTGGAATTGGTTAAATGGACGAACCCAGAGGGTGATTCTCCCCAAAGGCTTCCTCTTCATCCTGGAAAGAAGTGACGAGCGGAGTGCCATCCGCAGGGTTCCGTCCTGGGCCCGGTCCTGCTCATTCATGACTTAGATGAAGGGCTAGAAGGCAGGATCATCAAGTTTGCAGATGACACCAAATTGGGAGGGATAACCAATACTCCAAAAGACAGGAGCAGTATTCAAAACGATCTTGACAGATTAGAGAGATGAATGGCCAAAAACTAACAAAATGAAGTTCAACAGGGACAAATGCAAGATACTCCACTTTGGCAGAAAAACGAAATGCAAAGATACAGAATGGGGGACGATGCCTGGCTCGAGAGCAGTACGTGTGAAAAAGATCTTGGAGTCCTCGTGGACAACAAGTTAAACATGAGCCAACAATGTGATGTGGCGGCAAAAAAAGCCAATGGGATTTTGGCCTGCATCAAGAGGAGCATAGTGTCTAGATCTAGGGAAGTAATGCTACCCCTCTATTCTGCTTTGGTTAGACCACACCTGGAATATTGTGTCCAATTCTGGGCACCACAATTCAAGAGAGATATTGACAAGCTGGAATGTGTCCAGAGGAGGGCGACTAAAATGATCAAGGGTCTGGAGAACAAGCCCTATGAGGATCGGCTTAAGGAGCTGGACATGTTTAGCCTGAAGAAGAGAAGGCTGAGAGGGGATATGATAGTCATGTATAAATATGTGAGAGGAAGCCACAGGGAGGAGGAGGAGCAAGCTTGTTTTCTGCTTCCTTGGAGACTAGGATGCAAACAATGGCTTCAAACTACAAGAAAGGAGATTCCATCTGAACATGAGGAAGAACTTCCTGACTGTGAGAGCCATTCAGCAGTGGAACTCTCTGCCCTGGAGTGTGGTGGAGGCTCCTTCTTTGGAAGCTTTTAAACAGAGGCTGGATGGCCATCTGTCAGGGGTGATTTGAATGCAATATTCCTGCTTCTTGGCAGAATGGGGTTGGACTGGATGATGGCCCAGGAGGTCTCTTCCAACTCTTTGATTCTATGATTCTATGATTCCACCCACCTGGGCTTGGAGGGTGCTGCGCCCGTGTTTCAAGGGCATTGTCCTCTCGCAGAGGCTCATGTGTTGGCTGAGAGAGTGTGCCTCCTCCAGGAAGAGCCCCGTCCGGATGCGGTGGAAGAAGGTGGTCTTGCCCACCCCAAAGTCCCCCAGAAGGACGAACTTGAAGCGCAGGATGCTGGGCGCGATGGCCATGGCCGCGCTTCTGCCAAAAAGGAAAGTTGGCAAAACAGCTGCAGTTGGAGACAAAGGAGAGAGGAAGAGAGCAGGAAGTGAGCCAAAGGAAGCGCAGGCAAAATACCCAAACCCAAAGTCAGATCCTGAAACACATTGGGAAACATTCCCATATTTCAAAGGGTTGGGTATCTATCTATCCATACATGGCCAGTGGTTGGACTAGATGGCCCTTGCAACTCGAGATGCCCTTTGCAAAGGAAAGAAATGTGAATTTTTCAAAGAAATACCTGTGTTAGGATACATCTAGGTTGCAGAATGGATGTGTTCTGATACTACTTACACTGATAGGGCTCAATCCTATGGAATCAAGACTGACGATTATGTTGTTTATGTTTATTTATACTCTGCTTTTTCTCTCCACAAAGGAGACTCAAAGACACTACTTTTACTGCTAAGGCACAATGATAGGGAATCGGGGATATTGTTGTTCATTGTTGTTGTTTGTTTACACAATCGACCAATCTTTTGACCCACCACCTTGCTGCTGTTGGAGTCAAGGGGAGAGCTTTGAACTGGCTCCCCTCCTTTCTTCACAACCGTGGACAGCGAGTGGAGAGGGGAGGCCTGGTCTCTGAGAGGTCCCCTCTCTCTCTCTTGTGGGGTTCCTCAGGGGACCATTCTCTCCCCTCTGTTGTTTAACATCTATATGCGACCACTTGCTCAGCTGGTTTGAGGTTTTGGGCTTGAGTGTTACCAGTACGCCGATGACACTCAGCTGGTGCTGAAGATGGAAGGCCGACCGGACTCTGTACCCGATTGTTTCCATCAGTGCCTCATTGAGGCCGTGACTGGATGGCTGCGTGCCAGCAGGTTGAGGGTGAATCCAGCAAAGACGGAGATCCTATGGCTGGGTGGACCGGGCAGTGGGGACATCCATCTGCCCACCCTGGATGGCGAGGCGTTACGCCCGTCATCATTGGTCAAGAGTCTGGGAGTCCTTTTGGACCCTCTGCTGACGAGGGAGGCCCAGGTCTCCGCCGTGAGCAGAACCGCCTTCTTTCACCTGCGGCAGGCTAGACGGCTGGCCCCCTACCTGTCCAGGGACGACCTAGCTACGGTGATCCAGGCCACGGTCATCTCAAGACTGGACTACTGTAACGCCCTCTACATTGGCCTTCCTCTGTCGATGATCCGGAAGCTCAAGTTGGTACAAAATGCAGCTGCTCGGCTTCTTGCGGGAATTCCGATGAGATGCCACATAACACCAATCTTACTACAGCTGCATTGGTTACCAATTGAGCACCGGATCACTTTCAAAGTGATGGTACTCACCTTTAAGGCCTTGCATGGTCTGGGGCCGATGTACCTGAGGGACCGCCTCACCCCCTACCAACCCCAGAGATCCCTCCGTTCTGAGGACCAAGATCTATTGGAAGTTCCCAGTGTCAAGACCTTGCGTCTAACAGCAACCAGGCGCAGAGCCTTCACAGCAGTGGCACCATCGCTCTGGAATGCTCTGCCACCTGAAGTCCGTGCCTTGCGGGACTTACCAGCTTTCCGCAGGGCATGGAAGACATACCTGTTTCGACAAGCTTTTAATGTTTGATAGTGTTGTTTTTAAATTGTTTTAAATTGCTTTTAAATTTTGTTAGATTTTAGCCATTCTTGTAAGCCGCTCTGAGCCCCAGGGGAGTGGCGGCATATAATAAATAAATAAATAAATAAATAAATAAATAAAATACCCTGGGTTGTTGCAGATTTTTCGGGCTATATGGCCAAAGGAGACTTAAAGACACTTAACAACAACAACAACAACAACAACAACAACACTATGCTATAGAATCAGGTATGATGATGGTGATGGTTCTGTTTATTTATGCCCTGCTTTTTCCACAAAGGAGACTCAAATCAGCTTGATGATGATGATGATGATGATGATGATGATGCTATGGAATGAGGGATGATGGTGGTGATGTTTATGTTTATTTATATCATCATCATCATCATCGTCATCATAATTTAATAACTTATTAATCGCCCTCCATCCGAGAATGCTCTAGGCGATTTACAGCTAAATTACAAAAGATAAAATACATACATACAAAAATTAAAAATCAACAGAGATCGAATGCTCTAGTCAAAAGCCAGGTCTTAAGATTTACTTATTTTATTTATTTATTTACTTCATTTGTTGACCGCCGCTCTCAGCCCTGGGGCGACTCGCGGCGGTGTACAACATGTAAAAACAGTCTACAAAACATACAATATATCAACAACCAAATTACACATTAATCTAAATCACACTAATAAATCCGCGCCATCACAACATGGAATCATAGCCAATCTCATAATCCATAGTCCGTTCCAAATGTCATTACCAAATTCGTGTGGCTCAATTAAATGCCTTCTCGAATAGCCAGGTCTTTAGGCTCTTACGAAAAGCCATCAGGGAGGGCGCCTGTCTGATGTTAACAGGGAGGGCGTTCCACAGCCGGGGGGCCACCACTGAGAAGGCCCTCTCTCTCGTCCCCGCCAGACGTGCCTGTGAGGCGGGCGGGATCGAGAGAAGGGCCTCCCCAGATGATCTCAAGGCCCTCGTGGGCTCATAGGCCGAGATGCGGTCCGAAAGGTATTTTGGGCCGGAACCGTTTAGGGCTTTGTAGGATAACACCAGCACCTTAAATTGGGCCCGGTAGCAAATCGGCAGCCAGTGGAGCTGGGACAACAAGGGCGTTGTGTGCTCCCTGCGTCCCGCTCCCGTTAGTAACATGGCTGCCGCGCGCTGGACTAGCTGAAGCTTCCGGGCAGTCTTCAAGGGCAGCCCCACGTAGAGAGCGTTGCAGTAGTCAAGGCGGGATGTGACCAGAGCGTGTACCACCGTGGCCAAGTCAGACTTCCCAAGATACGGGCGCAGCTGGCGCACGAGCCGAAGCTGTGCAAATGCTCCCCTGGTCACCGCTGAAACCTGGGGATCCAGGCTCAAGGATGAATCCAGGGTCACACCCAAGCTGCGAACCTGCGCCTTCAAGGGGAGTGCGACCCCGTCCAGCACAGGCTGTAACCCTATACCCTGTTCGGCCTTGCGACTGACCAGGAGTACCTCTGTCTTGTCTGGATTTAATTTCAGTTTGTTCGCCCTCATCCAGACCGTTACAGCGGCCAGGCACCGGTTCAGGACCTCGACAGCCTCCTTAGTAGCAGGTGGGAAGGAGTGACAGAGTTGGACATCATCTGCGTACAGATGACACCGCACCCCGAAACTCCGGATGATCTCACCCAGCGGCTTCATGTAGATATTAAACAGCATGGGGGACAGTATAGAACCCTGTGGAACCCCACAGGTGTTGAACAGCAGTCCCCCAATAACACCTTCTGGGTGCGGCCCTCCAGAAATGACTGGAGCCACTGCAGAGCAATGCTCCCAAGACCCATTTCCGCAAGGCGCAAGAGCGAGAGTAAAAGGCCCTCAGTCACTCATGGCTCTCATGTAGGGCGGCAAGGAATATATCCTGCTTCTTCTCTCTACAAAGGAGACTTAAAGCAGCTTTACAACAACAAGAACAACAAGTAACACAATGGTTTATGTTCCTGGGTTATGAATGTCATTTCCTAATTGGTTCTATCATAAAAACATGGGGAAAGTTTATTATATTGCAAAAACTTTTTTTTTCTGCAGGAGGGACATCATCCTGCAGCAGATTTTGCTATAGTTTATCAATAGATGTCTCGTTGAGCTTCGACCATTTCAACATAGTTCATGCCACACACAAAAAACCACAACGTTTCTGGAGTAGAGCAACTCCTTTCAAAGTAAGGGGTACACAATTAAACAGGAAATAAGACTTTCAAACCAGGAACGGAAAGTTTTTCAAATGTGGATACATAGTGTAATAATACTGACCTCTTCGTACAGGTTGAGGCTGGACACGACATACTTAAACTACATCCATAAAAGCACATATTACTTACTTAATTACTTAGACGATCCCTCGTTGGCTGAGTAGGATAGTCTTCCAGGATCAGTCACCTACGGACCCACCAGTGCACTGATCCTGGAAGACTATCCTACTCAGACAACGAGGGATCGCCTAAGTGTGTACTACAAATCCAAAGATCCTATAGCATAGTCATAGCAATTAAAGCACAGAATAATAGGGTTGTTGTAGGCTTTTTTGGGCTATATGGCCATGTTCTAGAGGCATTTCTTCCTGATGTTTCGCCTGCATCTATGGCAAGCATCCTCAGAGGTAGTGAGGATAATAATAATAATAATAATTATTATTATTATTATTTATAAGGAGACTCAAAGCAGCTAGATGGAAATGCAGCCCAATACCACTCTAAGGGGCACGCCTCAATGTGACGGAGTGATGGGATTTGTAGTTTGGTGAGGCCCTAGCACCCTTTGGAAGAGAAAACTAAAGACCTTGCACATCAACTCCCAGCGTTCCATAGCAATTACAGTGGTGCTGTACTGCATCAAAAGGTAAGGACCATGCACAGCTACAACTCCCAGTGGTCCTGAGCTGCATCAGTTCTCCAGTGCAGATGCAGCCCTTTGCCTTCGGAGAGGATGTTTTGGCACCCAAGGGCCCTGTTTCAGGAGCCAAACCCAGAAACCGAGGCGTCCGCTTCTGTACCTCACACCAGTGGCGTCAAAGGGCTTTCCAAGGAATCCCTGGACAGATGCTTCCCGAGTCTTTCTGCATCCCAGAGTCACATGAAAGTCACATTGCAAGGCGGAAAATGGAGAAGGCGGGGAACCCAAGCACCCATCTGATCTCCTTCAGGGACATCAGAAGAGGCTTCACGCCAGCAGCCGGACGAGGAAAGCTGGCACGAAGCCTAGAATCCTGGAATTCGAAGGGACTCCCAAAGGCCATCTAGTCCAGCCCCCTTTGGCCAGGCAGGAAGGCACCGTCCAAGCCCTCCAAACAGATAGCCATTCAGCCTTTGCTTAAAAAACTTCAAGAAAAGCAAACTCCAATTCCACATTTCCTGAAAGTTGAATCCATGGCTGCATGAGAGCCCTAGTCTGTAAACAAGCTTCTTCTCTTTCCTTCTCCTCCTCTTTCTCCC